CGTGTTCTGAAGCCTCTTATTCGAGACGTAACCAAGGCATAAATGTTCTTAAGAATTGTTGTAGTAAATGATTCTTCATCATATTATTATTTAAATTAGTTTTTTGTTTTTGTTCCTACGGAACATGCAATTCATCTATGCAGATAAGTCGTTTCAAAATGTAAATCCTCTATTTAATTTCAATTGATTTCTAAGGTCAATTATGACGATAGAACAATAGTTTTTAATAAAAAGGTTTTTTGAATAGTAGTGAATCATAACAACAAAATTTTTTATGATTAATCAATTGAATTTTTGGCTGTCCATACAGTTGTTTTCAGTATTGCCAAATATCCGTCATCAGTCATATTTCTTAAAAATAATTTTTATATTTAATTATTCGTAAATAATTTTTAAACTGCAAATACCAAGTTTTTACTTTATACTTTGCCAAATTGAAAACTCAGAGTCCGTGGTAATTAACCAACTGACCCACTCAGTTGTATTGTTCTAACTTGAAGTTTTGTTATTTTGTTGTAAAAGTATATAAACAGATTTACTTGCATAAAGCAATTCTAGAGTAAGTAAATGAATTAAGCAGCAGTACTCGATATACTATTTCGTACCGTCTTCTACAAAATTCTTACATTTGTGATTACTGAGTTTTATAATTAATTTTATTATGCTTATATATATGTATTTATTTAGTATACAGATAAAGCTTATAGATATTGCATTTTTCGTTTGCCGGTGTTTTGGATTAATTATCTTAGCACTTATGATAATGTAAAACGATAAGATATACTACATTTTAATCATAATAGAGATGAAAAATTTTCATTAATTTTATTTTGCTTGTAGTCTAAAGCGTCCTTAATAGATGCAGTTCATAATCTTCAGTTGAAAACCTTTATTTATTTTTTTATATTATCTGTTGAAATGGTCTTATTGAACTTTTGCTCTTTGTAGGCGCTTCCTACGAGAAACGTTAAAAATGGCTAATGCAGAAGACTTGAATCGTTTGACTTCCTGCTCACTTGTACTGCTTTCGCATGTCTTCCTTAGCATCGGAAACTCAAAGGAAAGTATGAATATGGTAACACCTGCCATGCAATTAGCTTCCAAAATACCCGACATACATGTGCAGCTTTGGGGTTCGGCTATACTTAAAGATTTGCACCGTATGTCAAAGGATGTGCAACACGAAAAAGAAGCATATGCAAATCATGTCAAATACTCAGAGAACCTAATTGCTGATCAACGAAAATGTATGCAAAGCGTGCATCATAGCTTAATAAATTGGCTTAGTGGTGTGCCGCCCAAAACTAGTAACGCTGGTGGTGATATGGCGGGTGTAGTTCAAGCAAGTACCAGTAACTCTTCAATAGTACAACTAACACAACAGCCAACAATACTTCAGCAGCAGCAGCAACAGCAACAGCATCAGCAACAACAAATCCAACAACATCAACATCATCTACAACCACAACATCATATACAACATATGCAGCAATATGGACAATTTTATAAATAGTACTACTAGATATTAAGAGAAGTGTAAGTATATTTTTGTAAACCTAAGTTATAGTTATTGATAAGTTTAGCAATTTTTTTATATTTCTACAAATATTCTTTTATTTTTATTTTTTTTTTATTTATTTTTTACTGCAATATTCTTTATATAATAAAATCATTTTTAATAATCTTTGCGAGCTAGATTGTTTTGATTTGAATAAAAAATTGAATACAGTGTTTTGCGCTTAAACCGAGCTTTGAGGGACTGAAAAAATGGTTCGTTTTCAGTTAAACCTATAATATATAGATCAATCACTTATTCTTCATAAATATATGAGTTATCGCATTGAATAAGTTAACATAATTATATGAAATTTATTAACTGTTTCAAATATTGGCAAATGGCAACATCCCTATCCACCATCCATTATCAGTGGACTTTGAAAATATTTTTATTTTGACTAAATATAATCTATAATTTATATTTTATATATTTTTGACTGATAGTAGCAATTGTTAAACTTGAACCCCGTCAAATTTGAAACACAGACCCGCTGTTAACACATATAGCCAATGTCACACTTTAATTGTGCTATTCAAATTTGGTATTCAAATTCCGGTTATTTCCATTCTTGATTTTTAGAAACAATCACTTTTTCAATTGTTTTACTTTGAAATTAACTATTCGTCGTTTGTAAGTAGATCAGTTCATACATAAAAGAAATCCCAGATATAGAATTACAGAGAAAATTTGAACTTCCAAATAGGTTTGTCACAGCAATATATAAGTTTTATTTATAATCGAGTTGTAGTTTGTATTAACCGAAAAATAAAAACGTCTATATATAAGTATAAACTGATAGAAATATAAGTATCAGAAGTGAACACATACTTAAAGACTTGAGAGTCAAGAATGTGCAAAAGTATATCCAGGACAGATCGCTGAAATTGTTCAATTCTGTGGATATGCACACTAATTCAGAACTGAACGTTCTCATATCAAATGCAATATATATTCCATAAAAAAGATATACGGGACTTCAAAAAATACTTCTATAAAATCATCTGAATAACTTCTCATCAGAATTCAACGGTGCTGTTTTTGCAGCGACTCATCCAGTTGAGCACAGACACTATTGAGTAAAAATCTCTCGTTTTAAGCGAAAAGTACTGTATTTCTTCACGTATATATCAGCTAATTGGTCAGTTTATTCAGAATTATATAATTATTCTTCATAGCAATATTATTTTCATAATAATTATTTAATATTAACAATAAACCGATCAATAAGTCCGTATGATATATATATTTTTAGTTATAAAAATTAACAATAATTTATGAAAATAATTTATAAAAGATTCAACCTTAGTTAGAAGAAGATATAATATTTAGTTAGAAATTATTTTCTGAGTTTTATATACAAGAATTTAAAAAAAAAAATAAATAAATAAATAATGTGAGTGAAATACATAATAAATTACTAGTAAAGCTAATTCCTTAATAAAAAAAAATGTTATTAAATTATTTGTATAAAAATGTTTAAAATTTGTACTATAACCGCATAAGTCTATATATTTCTATTTCTTATATATTTACTGATTGTGTATACCTAATTTTTAATGCAAATGTGTGTAGTTAATAACATAAATAGTAAGATACTAACGAAAATGATTTATGATTTTAAAATGATTATTGTAAAAACGAATGCATAAAAGATATTAAGTTTATAATCACTCATTAATCACAATTCAAATGTTAAACTCTAAGTTTATATATAAAAAATAAAAAAGAATCGTTGTAAAATAGTTTATTACTCTTAAATAATCGTTTTTCATCAATGCTGTCCATTTTTTAGGGCAGTTATTTCTATTATCAATGAATATTACTGCACGTAAGCAATATACATTAAATAATTATTTACTTAAAATTATTTTAAAAAAAATTAATCTAAACTAACGCACAATATCCAATATTAAACATGAAATGCTACTTTGGTTTTTATAATCATTTTTAAAATAATGCAAATTAACAATATCTATCGGCTATTTTAAATATTTAAGTACTTTCATTATAAACATGATCATTGTTAAAAATAATACATAGAAATAAAACTGTGAACTGTGAATATAAAAATATATGTATATCGATAAGCTTACTTACCTATTGATGTTTAAATTGAATTCCTATCGAACAACTGAATCTTTTTGGTGCAGTAGTAATATGCAAGTAATTTAATAACTGCCTTAAAATTTATAGGTTTATTTTAAAAAAATTTTATTTATAATATAAGAAAATTATTTAATTAGAATGTAATAAAAATACTTCTATTCAAAATTTGTTTGCTTATGAGAAATAAGATAATGTGGATTAAGTTGTTACTCACTTTAAATCCATTTAGATCTAAAACGCAAGCACGTCAGAGGGACCGCAAAATATAGGCAATGGGTAGAATGTATAGCTTTAGTGCTCTTAATTCATTAATATAATTGTATTCTCTCTTGATTATAAATCCGATAAAACTTATTCATACAGTGCATTATGGAAAACTCGAATGCTCATTTTCATAGTTGATAGTTGATACCTATAACGACGAAACAAGAATTGTTATTTTCCATGATAAGAGTAAAAAATTGTACATCCACCTTGTACAGACCACCTGAGTTTAAATAATGGCCCATTACGATACCACGGAGGATAAGCGTTGTTCATACTTAAATCAGAAAAATCTCC